AACCGGGCCAAAAAAAAAAAAACCCCAACCCCCGGAGGGGTTTTGGGACATCACCGGTTCCTCCCCTGACCCTACAGAAACAGTACATGCACGGGGAGGGGGGGTAGCGCTGCGCTCGACGGCAGGGAGATGGCACAGGTACAAAAAGAGTCCGCTATAAAACCAGGGCGGGGCGCGAGCCGGCTCCTCGACACTCACAAAGGTACAAATCCAAATACCCAAATCTCTTCTACCATCTTCTTTCCAGAGAAGTAATACTTTGTGTTCAACTGTACAGCTGCTCATACCAGTGAGAGCACAAATGGCATTCTCTCCCTACCTGCCTGAAGGGTCTTTTGGGGTGGGAGTTCGCAGTGGGGTTTTTTTGGGCTGTGTGTGGTGTTTGGCAGGAGAGGGCTGGGGGGAGAGGAGGCGGTCGGAGGAGGAGGAAGAGGAAGAGGAAGGGGAAGCACCCCCGAGGGCGGACTGAAGGTAAACGGTCTTGTGAAAGAGTCTGTTGCTGAGGAAAACCACCAAGGAGAAGAGCCGGAGCTGGAAGTGGCTGAAAAGGAAGAGAGCCCGTCAGCTCCCAGCACCGGGAAATGCCCCCATCGTGGGATTTCGGGGAGCAGCGGGTGAGGTTTGGGGTGATTTCAGGGGATTTAGGGAACGGCAGAGGTCGACACTCACTAGGTTTTGCTGGGGGTCCTCGCTTCGTTGGCGCTGATGATGAAGAGAGGGAAAAGGATGGAGAAGAGGCAACCGCTGGAAGGGGAAAAAAGAAGAGTAAGAACAATAAGAAAATCGGAAAAATAAGAAAATAAGAAAAAATAATAAAAGGGGTGGGGTTGCGAAATGGGCGCCCGCCCTCCCGCTGACTCACCTGATGATGTAAGAAGATTGCATGGCCGTGAGGAAAGCCAGCGGCAAGCCGAAGCCGAAGTAGTAGGGCCAGTTTCTCTCGATGTTGGACAACCGTTGGTGCATCTCGATGCCTGGCGAGAAGAAAAACCGGCGGGAATCAACCCAGGAGAGGAGGAAAGAGAGACACCTCCGTCACGCTTCATTCCGATTAAAAATTGAAGGGGAAAAAAAATCAGCCTCAGATCCTCAATCCGGCCAAATTCCAGCCCGGAGAGGGGCGGCAGCTCTCACCTTTGTTAAACCAGCGGTACTCGAAGCAGTAGAGGGAGTAGAGCAGGGACATGTGGAGGAGGCTGATCAGCTGGCCCACCAGGTCGATGGGGAAGAGGCTCACGATCATCCCCTGGGGTTTAAAAAATAAAAATTAATTAAAAAAAAAAAAAAAAGCTCTGGATTCTCTGGATTTCGGGGAGAACGTGGCCCGAGAGAGAGGGGGGGTGCTGGCAGGGGGTTGCTTTGTTTTGGGGGTGCGGCTGTCGTCTCACCTGGATGAGGAAGAGCGCCTGCAGCAAGAGGTTGAACAACATGTCGGCGATGATTTTGCTGACGCTGGGAAAGGGATGAGGCTTCCTGCCGGACACTTCGAATGCCAGATCCGCGATGTCCTGCGGAGGGGGGAAGAAAGAAAAAAAAAAACCAAAAAAACAACAAATAAAGGCAAAAAAGAGGCTTGAGGGAAATGAAATTCAAGAGAGAAACGGGCGTGAGGAAAACGAAGTTCGGAAGAGGTGGGATGAGCTGGTTTTGCCCACCCCGAGCCCATTTTTGGCGTGGGATTTTATCCCCCGCCGAAAGGCCGCCCCCCCTTGTGCCACCTTAACAAGGCGATTCCCCTGGTCCAAGATTCCTCCGGTCCCCGTCACCTACCTGAAACCAGATGGCATTGACAACCTTACTGAGCACAAAGAGGGGAAGGACCCAGAGGGCGCTGAAAATGGAGGTGAGGATGAACTCCAGCCAGGACCAGACGTCGCCGTGCAAGGAAGGGTCACCTTGGGAAGACGGGACAGGGAGGAACGCGTGAGGAACCGGTGTAGGAACCTCCTCGTTCCACCCTACAAACAGGAAAGGGACTTACCGATGATCTGTGCCGTGACCGACTGAAGGACAGGTATAAATACACGGTAAAACAAGAAGAGACTAAGCTAGAGGGGGGAAAAGAAAACAAGAAGGGATGTCGGTGAGGCGCTGCACAGTCGTTTCTTGCCGTGCCCTAACGACCCATCTTACAGAAGACCCTCTGCCCGCTCCTCCGCGAGCAGAGGACCGAGGATCTCTGCTTAAACACAGCCAAAACCTACAACCCAGCACTTTATTTTTAACATTTCCAAGCCGGTTCCTCGTATCTGTCCCACAGGCTGACGGAAAAACACAGCCGGCGATTTATCGGGCTGCCGAGTGTCTGCTCCGTTAAGGATCAGCCTCACGGAACATCAGAGCTGGGGAAACGTCTTTAAAATATCGATATTCAGGTCGGTAAATCAGTATCACAGACTGCAGGCGAATATTTGGAGAAACAGATGGGGTTTAACGCGCAGGTTTCCCGTGTCAGTCTATGATCCTACATCCTTAAAATACAGCGTCGTGACTTGGAGCTCCTACTGATTCCCACAACCACGGGCTGGGCTTTCCCGAGGTTTTTAACGTAGGAAAAAAAAAACAAACAAAAATACCCACTTACCCAGAATACGCCTCCGTTCCAGGCACAACACTGAAATATCCGGCTCACTATCCGGGGTTCGCTGCAGAGAGAAACGGGGGAGACACGTTCAGGTCCCGGCGCCTGGACAAACGTCCCCCAACAAGCGACTGCTTCACAGAGTCACGGAACGGCTGAAGTTGGAAGGGACCTCTGGAGATCATCCGGTCCAACCCCCCGGCCAGAGCAGCGTCACCCAGAGCAGGTCGGGCAGGATCGCATCCAGGCAGGGGTGGAAAATCTCCAGAGAAGGAGACTCCACACCTCTCTGGGCAGCCTGTGCCAGTGCTCTGCCACCCTCACAGCAAAGAAGTTTTTCCTCACATTGAGACAGAATTTCCCCTGTTCCAGTTTGTGCCTGTTGCCCCTCGTCCTTAAAGAGACCCAAGTCCCTCAGCCTCTCCTCATATGAGAGATGTTCCAATCCCCCTGAGCATCTCCACAGCCTCCGCTGGACCCTCTCCAGCAGTTCCCTGTCCTTCTTGAACTGGGGAGCCCAGAACTGGACACAGTGCTCCAGATGTGGCCTCCCCAGGGCAGAGCAGAGGGGGAGGATGACCTCCCTCCACCTGTGGCCACGCTCTTTTTAATGCATCCCAGTCCACCTTGGCCACCAGGGCACATTGCTGGCTCGTGGGCAACTTGTTGTCCACCAGAACTCCCAGTCCCTCTCTCAGAGCTGCTCTCCAGCAGGTCAGCCCCCAACCTGTACCGGTGCGGGGGGTTATTCCTCCCTCGGTGCAGGACCCTACGCTTGCCCACGTTGAACTTCGTTAGGTTCCTCTCCACCCAACTCTCCAGCCTTCCCTCCCATGTCACGGACACCTTGGGAATGTCACGGATAACCAGTTCAGCGCCGGTTGTACCTGAACACGGGAATCCTGGAGGAAATCTCTGCACAGACTCATGCCAGATTTCAGCCAGGGCACTGAATATTTACATCAGGGAGACTCTTTTCAACCTTTATTAATTCCCCAGATCTGCACCAAAACGGAAGAAAAGCAAAGCTTTCTTCCAGATTTTTATATTATTATTAGAGGTGTCGGGTTTTGATCTCCTCAAACTCTCGCCACAATAAAAGCAGGGATTTTTGAGTGCTTTTTGTTCTGGGAAGAGGCTGTTTCAGCTCAGGGCGGTTTTGGCTTCTCTCTCTTTGCAGCATATCTACAGACACGTGAGAGTGCAGCTCTGTGGGACTCCACAGCCCTTCTCCAGTCAGCTTCTGCTACCAAAGGGATTTGGTACAAAGAAAACCAGAAAAATACAACTGTTTAGTCCCCCCAAAATATATATAATTCCTCGAGGGGCATATGCAGAAACCTCCGTGGATGATCAGGACCATGGGACACAGGAGACTCTTCCATCATCTTGAAATAAAGTCAGACTACCGTCGAGCTAGTCAGAATAATTTGTAAACATGTGTTAAAAATGTCTTTTTGACTGCGAGAAATGCCAGCCCAGCTGTAATTAGGGCAGCGGAGAAACACCTCAGCGCGGTTTGGGAGTCAGACACAAGAACAGATGCTGTTTTGCTCCCACGTGGATATAATTCTGGCATTTCCAGCCTTAGTGGATGCAGAACGCAGCAAGGCCGGGGAAAAAAAAATTATACTCGATCTGCCCCAGACACGTAAATCAGATCTGAGCTGCTGCTTCTCCCCCGATCCCACAGCTACCAACAACAGCGTATCTTTGAGAGACAGCACGAGCGTTCAGGAAGAAAAGAAATCCAGAAACCCACGTTCTTTCAGCTTGCAGAGCTCCATACCTTCTATTATTATTTCAAACTAATCGCATACTCTTAGTTGTCAAACAACATAAAAGGTCTGACTTCTTATCTCATGAAAACAATTCCAGTCTCATCACACAGAGTGGGAAAAAGGCATTTCACATCACATTTTTCATATTTATTGGCTCTGCGCTTCAGTGCCATCGGGTTTACGAACCATTTGCAAACGCACACCACAAGTTCCGCTTTCGCTGACACCCGGGTCGCAGGGCTCTGACAGTTCTGACAAGTATTTTTACGGAGATCTTCACGAGTGCGGGCAACAATAATGGCTTTATTTCTTAAACCCCGCTTACCTCAACTTCCCTTTTAGCCAGACAACTGCGACACGATGGATATTTAGGAGAAAAAAAAAAAAAAGCACAAGCACTGCCAAATCACACTCGCAGAGATTTTGCTTCATCGGGCTCTTTAAAGCTCGGGGCAGAGTCGCGCTCTCCCTCCCTGCCTTCCATAGGCTAAAAAGAGGGAATTACCCGATTTATGACCCGGCAGGCCCCATACTCACTTCTCTTGCTTCTTCTCTTCCATGTGAAACCTCCGCTGGGCCAGCGCGCTGTTTGCTCTCCTCCGCCTCTGCTCTTCCCTTTTCTGCTGGATCCGGGCATCCAGCTTGGAGATGGTGCAGATGCCCCAGATGGAGTCCTTAATTCCCTGCGGACATGGGGAGAGGCCATCACACTCCACCCCGCAGAGAGAAAAGGAATGGGATGTGGCGGACCCAGGCCATGGAAAACCTCCTGGTTACGGAAAGGGACTTGGACGTGGCCAGTCTCGCTCCCTGGCTAGCAGGGGAAGCCAGGCGCAGTCAGAGCCAAGGTTTGGAGCAGCAAGACCGACTGTTGTCCGCGGCCCAGTGACCTAAATCACCGCATGTTCCAGCATCTTTAGGAGCAGCAGTAATTTTTTTTTTTTTTTTAAAAAAAGGTGTGATTTCTCATCCAATCTCTGCTATTTATAATCCTGGCAAAGACCAAAGAGTCAGATCTCTCACAGCCCGTTTCTTCTGCCTGGCAGAAAGCCCTTCTTCCCCTGCCAGCATTTCTAAGGCTAATAAAATAGAATTATACAAAACGTTTAGGATGTGCAAAGTCCTCGTGGCCTGACTGTACGTATGAGATTGATGCTTACTCCTTTACAAACAAAAGCACCTGTCCTTGTCCCAGAAACATCCTCTCATCAGCCACATCCGTGCAAACCTGTTAACAGGAAAGTGCCCAGAAGTACTTGCTTACTCATTTAAAAGACCAGGAGTGCCACCTCCTAGAACTCCCCGGGCAGTTATTTCCAGCTCCAGATGATATCATAGCCATCATTATCAAAATTTCAATTCAAAATAAAGACCACAAGGATGCTAGTGTGAGCCAGGACAGCGTCACTACCCAGGTGACCCACATGGCAGTTGGCTATGTGGAGTTTTTGACCAAAGAGAATAAATTTTGATGCCAAATGTGTGTGGCTGAAATGGCAGAACATGATGCTGCTGGTACTTAACGAGGTGGAAACGAATTACATGAGCTGCTCTACCCACTGTTTTACAGATGGTGTGAGAGCACCATGAAATGACATAAGTCCTCCCGCTTTAGATTGTGGCCAGTGTGGCACAGATCTTTAAGAGCCCCTTTTCCTTCAAAGTTTTTAATCCACCCTTAATGACATAGGAAGCAGGCTGCTCCCTGCAGAAGACCCATAGTCACCGAAGCAAACGAGAACATTACCTACAACAGAGAACCCAAAACGCAGAGGCTTACCCTGACGAGGTCATGAAGGAAGGTTTTCACGCTGTCTGCCATCTCGACTCCAGCATCACCTCTGGTTCCAAAACTATCAACTACAGGGAGAGGGGAAAAGCCGAACCCAAACCTCTCTCATCCTGGAGAGATGGGAAACGGATGGAGCCTGCGGCGAGAGAAAACACAGGACCACAGCAGGCGTTAACAGCATCAGTCTGAGCGGGGTAATTACAAGCTAAATCACACCCCAGCGATTTCCAACAGCCTTCCCTGTCCTCACTCACTTCCCATTGGGCAACTACCCTCAAACGTACAGACCCATCCTCTTAATTCCAAGGTATCTTGTATTAACGAACTCAGAGTCTCAGGAACAGCAGAGCCTGTATTTCTATGCAGCAGAACATCATGCTGGGCTGCTGGTTTTTGGAAGAGAAAAGCCGGCAGAGCCAGCCCAGACAGGTGTGAAAACATCTTTGCTAAATCCAGTGTTAATTTAACACTTTACAGCTCCACACCTGCTCTTCCTCACGCACCAGGTAAGAAACTCCAGGTCTACAATTAGGAACCTGACAAAACGAGGGCCACTCTTGAGCTGTCCCATAAGCTTTTGCCCAAAGCAGTAATTACTCCAAACAGCCCTTTGCAAAACATGTTGCGCTGAGTCTTCTGCTTCTTGTAAAGTGCCATAGTAATACACACAGTGTCTGAATTAAGGGAAAAAATGAATAAATAAAAATCACCAGCTAATAATACTCATGGAGCTTTCCCACCAGGATTCAAGCCACTCACTTTTCCTAGGCAGGAGCTACTGGCAGGCTGGTGTTGCAAGCCCTGACACGTCAGCGTTGCTGTTGCTCTGTAATGCTCAGCATAGGATACAAACAATTGAAAATAATTTAAAAAAAGGAACAAAAAAGGTTTTTATTTTGGTTACTCCGAGCCAAAACCTGCCAGGGTTTGAACTGCACTCCTGTAAAGCAGCAAATGCCAGTTCGGATAGAACTGCGGAAGCACAACTGGCCTCCAGCTTTATTAACATCAAGTTAATCACAGTCACCTTCACCCTAACATCGAGCCTTTGGAGGTGGACACACGGCGTCAGGATCTTTTCACTTTAGCCAGGTGTCCGAGGTCTGGGTTCCACTGGCAGAGCCGCAGCACAGACAAAAGGCAGAAAGAAGCATTTTCTTTGTTCCAGGCAGCTGCGCCTCACCACCCTTCAGGCTTGGAAGTATATGTCTTCAATACAGCGAGACCCGACTGCTGTATGGTCCCGGATTCCACATAAAGCCCTGCCTGATTTATTTTTACCCAGGGGTGTTTCTGGGTGACACCCCAGCATTGGGGGTTACTGTGCAGGGGGGAGAAACCTCATGGCACCCCAGAGGTGCCCAGGATGGGGAGCCCAGGCCTGCCCCACATTTATGCTGCAGGTGGCAGGGGGGAGAATCGTCTCCACCTGCTGTTAACTGGGGTGACCCCCACGGTTACATTGGGGGGGGGATTGACCTCTGAGCTGCCCCCGTGGTTACTGGCAGG